AATAGAATTTACACTTCCAGAAAGCCACCCTCATTCATGGCAAAATACCCCAGAGAGCAAAGTAATCATTGCACAAGCACTCAGCACAATTCCATCTCTTTCTTCTTAAAGCAGGTATCGATATTTACAAGTGCCACAGGTTTGCAAGTTTATAATCACAAACTTGAAGTTTCATATGCGTAATAAACAAAAGGTCTGAAAAGTTTTAAATGAATAATTTAATAGTGGATACATCTCAAACCTTACATTGGGAACTAAAGGGAGGGAAAATCTTTAATGAAAGGTATTCTGAAAAGCGAGAATCAGAGATACCCGCTGCAGAGAATTCAAAGGTTTCAGTTTTAGACCAAATTAAAAAACAAAACAAAACAAAACAAACAAACAAACAAAAAAAAAAAAAAGTCACTTTTGCAATGAAGACATTTCATCTAGAAAGTTTAGGATGGATACAATAAAAACACTATATCTGTGGTTAAAATATCATTGTTGATAAAAACCACTACAAGTCTGAGGACGGTATCCTGCATCCTTTGCACTTGGTGTTTGCCCTTCAAGGAAAGCCAGTCTATCTCTCTCATCTGGCTGCTTCCACTTTTGAAGTCTGGGGTAAAATGCTATTGTTTGTCAGTGCCTTTCATAGTTGGTATGAAATGAAGTTCTTCTGCGAAACAACTGTAAGGGATATATTCTAATCACCTGAATGCATTTATTTCTTTCTGTTGTCAGAGACTGTGCAACTAGCAGTTATAAATAGAAGAAAAACAAATAAAATCAAAGTTCCAGATCTAAAGGAGCTTGCAGACTACCCAGGACAGCAGATAACAAGTAGGTACAGTAATATATGAAAAGTGTGAACCTTCAGGTCTGAACTGTGAAGGAAGCAACAAATGCTGTGGAGACATTCAGGGAAGCATCAAAGAAGAGGTGACATTCAGCCTAAACCTAGGAGGATGAATTTTAGCTCTTTGTCACACACACACACACACACACACACACACACACACACACACACCTATGAAGAGTTTAGTCTCTAAGCTTTCTAAATGTATATAAAATTGTGGTACCAAGTATAGCAACCAATTAACATAACACTTTGAAAGTAAGATCTTTTATAAAGATCAAAGTGGAGGCTTCTGGGTGAACATAGATACCTAACTGTTTGATTCCTTCACTTCTGCTAACAGACACATGGAGGGAGAACTACCAATGATCCAGGTGTCGGGAAAAAGAGAGATTACAAAGAGCTGAAAAGATGAGATGGCCTTCCCTGAGAGACAAGAGAGGTGTCAGCCACACTGATCTTTTAAAATAGATATCAGATCATATCACTTCCTATTTAAAAATCTTCTAGCGGCTGACTCTTAGAATCACAGTAACTCCAAATTCTTTCTGGGGCCTTTGAGGAACCCCACAGTCTGAGCCCTGCCTGCTTCTCCGATCTCCTTACACACTCCTCTCTTTTGCATGGCCACTCCAGACACAGCACCCTGTCTCCTCCTAAGACCCTTCAAACCTCTTCTAGCCTGCATCCTTTGCACTTGGTGTTTGCCCTTCAAGGAAAGCGAGTCTATTTCTCTCGCCTGGCTGCTGCCACTTTTGAAAACATGGCCAATGCCACCCAGCTCTAACTGCCTGTAACCCCCTCTCCCAGTCAGACTCTAATAAATGACTGCTATGGGTTAAGCTGTGGTACTTCAAAGAAGTATATTGAAATCCGAACCCCAGTATGTCAGGATGTTACCTTATTTGGAAACGGGTAACTTGCAGAAGTGATCAAGTGAAAATGAAGTCATGAAGGTAAACCCTAATTCAACAGCGCTTGGGTCCTTACAAAAAAAAAAAAAAAAGAAAATTTGGACCCAGAGTCATCCACAGAGGGAGAATGCCAGGTGAAGATGGAGGTAGATACTTGGGGCGATGCTTCTACCAGCCAAAAAAATAACAGAGAAACTTCCAGAAGTGAAAGGACAGGCAAGGAACATAATCTCCCTTCACAGCTCTCAGAAGGAACCAACCCAACTGACACCTTGATCTAGGACTTGTAGCCTCAAGAAAATAAATACATACTATGTTGAGGGTATAAATATACTTTCTTTAAGACACTCAATTTATGGTACTCTGCTATGGCAACCCTAGCAAATGGATACAAGTGTCTCAGTATTTATTATTATTATTATTTTAGTTTGTTGTTGCTGGTGGTTTTTTGTTTTTCTGGAAATTTTGTTGTTGTTGCTGTTGTTTTGAAACAGAGTCTAGCTCTGTCACCCAGGCTGGAGGGGAATGTAATAGCACAATCTTGGCTCACTACAACCTCCACCTACTGAGTTCAAGTGATTCTCCTGCCGCAGCCTCCCGAGTAGCTAGGATTACAGGTGCCTGCCACCGTGCCAGACTAATTTTTGTATTTTTAGTAGAGACAGGGTTTCATCATATTGGCTAGGCTGGTCTCAAACACCTGACCTCAGGTGATCCGGCTGCCTTGGCCTCCCAAAGTGCTGGGATTACAGGTATGAGCTACAGCGCCCAGCCATGGCCCAATTTTTAAATAACATTTATCAATAACCAAAACAATCTTACGTTAATTCTGCCACTGAATGACAGGCTTCAAGAAGGCACTGAACTTTTCTCTCTTGGTTTGAGTGCAACAATGAATTGGAAAGACATCTGAAGATATGTGCTTTGGTCAGGCACGGTGGATCATGCCTGTAATCCCAGCACTTTGGGAGGCTTAGGTGGGCAGATTGCCAGAGGTCAGGAGTTCGAGATCAGTCTAGCCAACATGGTGAAACCCATCTCTACTAAAAATATTTAAAAAAAAAACTAGCTGGGTGTGGTGGCATATGCCTGTAATAGCAGCTACTTGAAGGCCAAGGAAGAGGAATTGCTTGAACCAGGAAGGTGGAGGTTGTAGTGAGCCGAGATTGCTCCAGTGCACTCCCACCTGAAGGACAGAGAGAGACTCTGTCTCAAAAAAAAGAAAAAAAAAAGAAAAGAAAAGAAAAAGATGTGTGCTTTGTGATAATAATGTTGCTGAACACAATCATCTCAACACAGCTGAGATGTTTATTTATAGAAGTTCCATGTTGAGACCAGTGAAAACTAGTTTTTCCATTTGTGAAAGATAGAGAAAATTTTAAAAGGCAGCATTATTTATCTGTCCCATTCTAATTATGATGATAAACGTTTACTAAGCTAGATTGAAAAGAAGCCTTTAGTGAAAGAAAAGCGGGTCCTTTTTCTTATCTTTGTCATAGTCTAAATGCTGTGTTTGTTAAAATATTTATGTTTTCCAGTAAGCCAAACACACAAAGCAAAACTGCAACAGAATTTCAGTTTCATTAACATGTCCCAGCCTCATGGATTTATAAACCTTGCTTTATAAAGAGAAGATTCAGAGACAAACATTCGACAGGAAAAATCTGTTTACAAAGTTTGTGACACAGATTCAATATTAATATTGCAAAAGTCAGAAATGATGATTTTGTGAGGAAATGAGACGATGATAGGAACTTTTTAAAAATTTTTTTGGAGACGGCGTTTCGCTCTTTGTTGCCCAGGCTGGAGGATGACAGGAACTTCTAAGCAACTCAGCTCCTTTCGGGAGAACTAGGCAGGGTGACTCCATTTATTACTGTGAGTCTCCAGATAGAAGATGGTTTGTTTCTCCTTGCTTAGCTATAATTGAGACTTACGTCCAGTCTCCTACCCTATTGCAAACGTAGCTTTGTTAAACGATATTCCTAATTCAATATTATTATTTGATGTTTTACATTATTTGACCACTTGTGAAGTTTAATACAATCTTAAGATTGTTGGCAGGGTGTGGTGGCTCACGCCTGTAATCCCAGAACTTTGGGAGGCTGAGGCGGGCGGATCACGAGGTCAGGAGATCATGCCCATCCTGGCTAATACTGTGAAACCCATCTCTACTAAAAATACAAAAAATTAGTCGGGCATGGTGGTGAGCGCCTGTAGTCTCAGCTACCCATGAGGCTGAGGCAGGAGAATCGCTAGAACCCAGGAGGCAGAGGTTGCACTGCGCCGAGATCAGCCACTGCACTCCAGCTTGGGTGACAGAGCAAGACTTGGTAGCCCCACCAAAAAAAAAAAAAAGGAAAAAAAGAAAAAAAATTTGTCAGATTTAAATACATAAAATATGTGGCATGGCCTACTTTGCAACTGATTTACTCTACTATGTATGCCTCACTGAGAAGGGTAGATTCTTATTGAATCTACAGAAAGGAAAATATAGCCACAAAAAATAAAGATCTTAATAACGGCACCTTCCATAATATTTAACTATTGTTCTGAGGAGTTTCCCAGATGGAAAGATAGGTAATTTTATTTTCTTTTTCAGAACATTATGTTAAGTCTCCCTGATGATTTATCAGCTTTAGTTTATTTTAAGATATTTCCTAAAATATTTCTTTTCCATATTCTTAAGGGTTTCATTTTTGTTTATACAAGTACAACCTTTAAATTGAGGATTAGTGATTAAAATGGAAGGTTTTCTATTTTCAGAGGTTTATTTGAAAATAAGTAAAATCAGAAAATAAATTATAATTTAATCACTTCTTTTCGTCTTAGGTAATTAGACTTTGTTTTTCTAATCTGGATTTAAGAAGGCCACATTCAGTAAGCCATCTGTTTATGCACTAGAAGAATCCTGGAATCATGACTCAGTCCTTTGGTGCAGGTGCACTTTCAGTGACATTGTCAGAGCCTTCTAGGAAACCTGCTTCTGTTAATTTATTTCTTAAAGTATCAAAACCTGAGGGCACCTGGCACTGTCTTTAATGCAGCTTATAGTAGAGGAAAGGAATCAAGAAAATTCCCATTTGAGGAAATGGAATGACTCGGGCTAATTTCTTAAAATAAGCAGCAATCCCAGAACATAAGAGGGTAAATTCCCCTTCTGGGGTAAAAGGCAAAATCATTTCATATGTTGCATGAGTATCCTAGACCACAGCTGTGAGTAGAGTATTATTTCCTGAAAATACCATTGCAAAGGCCTCTTCTTCAACTTGAAGAGACTGAATCCTTGGTAAAGGCGAGAGAGAATGAAATTTGAAATGAGACAAATATTGAGTTTGAAGTCATGCTTATTTCACAGAATTACAATAATAATTAAATAAAATCTCCTATAAAGTAATGGGCTTTCTCTTCAGAACCAATTAATGGCTAATATGTCATAATAACACAAGATGCAATAGAACTAGAACCACATAAAAGAGTAAAATCTCATACATTTGGACATTTAAGGCCTCAATTTCTCGGAGAAGTGTTTTTGGTACAGAAATATTTAGACACTATTGACTTTTGACCCATAATTTATTTGGTTGGCTATTTATAATTTTTTGTTCAATTTCCATTTCTAAAATTAGCAGTTTAAACAAGTATTCAATATCTGAACTTCAATAAAAATATAAAACATGATCTAAAATTCCAAGATGGTGAAAACCATGTGTATTTTACCCACCACAGAATCTCTAAAATAGCCCTTTCCAATAGAAATACAGTGAGCCATAGGCATTCAAAATTCCATTAGCCACCTTAAAACTGTAAAAAAAAAAAAAAAAAATCAAGTAAAATTTATTTCAATAATATATTTTCACTTAATATTTCCAAACTATTATTTCAACATATAATCCATATTAAAAGTTTTTATACTGATGCTTGAATTGGGCACAAATCAAGTATTCGTATTTTAATTAATTAAAATTAAATAAAATTAAACATTTATTAACTTGGTTGCACCACCATGGTTCCGGTGCTTGTAGCCACATGCAGCCTCCCTTATTGGGCAGTTCTAGCACCTATCATAGTGTCTGGAACAGAAGAGGCACTCCAGATGGATTGAGTACCTTGAAAAATAAATAAATGAAAATAGCTATCATAACACTCAACATATAATGTCTCTGGTCAATGGTCTTCCATAAAAGTTATTACTCTCTGTTCAAAAGACTTTTAGAGTCTTCCTGAAAGTAATCGCTAACTAAAAGAGGTCAAAAGAGGTTGTCTAATAATTAAGAGAGATATGTATATATATGTATCTAAAAATTCATCTGATTCTAAATATAAGGATGGGGCCCTGATAAGCAAAATTATTTTGTGTGGTAATTATTATATGTAGTAAAAGTTATATATATATATATATATATATATAAATCATGTTATTCCTTTCAATATATATATGGAAAAAGTAATATATATAAATTTTACAATACATAGTATAGTAGTATTTATATTTTACTGGTAATACTACTAGTGTGACATGGTAAAAGCCCCGTAAAACTGCAGACCTCAACCATACCTTGGCTTTCTGTTGAAACTGCTCTCTAACCCCAAATGTGACAGGCACGCAGTCTAAACCCACACCATCTTGGCCCCTGTGACTTGTAATAAGTAATTAAGGTCTGTAATTTCCAACCTACCTAGACAATGTGTAAACTAATCTTGACTTTTGTGAACCACTTAAGTAGCAATTGGAATGTCAAAAGTCCCCTAGCCCTCGGAATGTCCGGAGCTGCTCACCTTCATCTCCACCCAGGGGTGATTTACAGAATCTACTGGCCCTCGGAATGTCTGGAGTCCCTCACCCCCATGCCCACTCCTCACCCTCACCCTGGAGGTGGTTTATGGCCATAAAAGGTCTTGACACCATCCTTTTGGGGCCACAGGTTGTAGAAACATGAGTCCTCCATGGCCGCCGGCAATAAAGACCCTGCAATCTGACACTTTCTATGCTCACTCTAGTACAATATTTTGTAGGTCCCACCGAGATTTATCTTCATCCAGACAAAAGCCATCTCAGAGTATTGCCCAGGCAGCCGCTCTCACCTCGGGGTCCTCTAGGGGAGGCGCCTCCTGAGATGTTCCAGGGCCTCAGAGTTCTGGCCCCGTGGAGGATGAGCGACTACCTGGTTGACAGTTACCCGAAATTCATCAGGGTCCTGGGAACCTCTGGAGGTAAGTCAGGTCCATCAAAGGGCCTGAGTCAGGGGACCGGGCACTATCATTGCAACTCTGACCAGGCAAGCCTACCATGAGATGTCACTGGAGGCTCGGGTTACCTCACAGGATGCTCGGGCTACCTCACTAGAGGCTCGGGTAATTTAGTTTTCAGTTGTTTTCCATAACCTCGGTGTGAGTGAGTGTGTGTGTATATACGTAGTCCCAGGGCTGGAAGGCTACGCGGCTTGTGTGGGCCTTCACCTGTAGTTCCATGGAGATGTCATAAGGCATAACTGTGATTCATCTCAGGACTAAAAATTCTGAGGTGACCAGGCCCGGGTTTATATGGGTACACCTTAGCCAAGATGCTCTGAAACATCCCTCCAGGGACATAGCCAGGCAGGCATAAGACTGGTCTCCCATCTGGGGAACACCCATCCTTTGTCTGTCAATCCTATATGTGGTTCTGTCTTTATTGTAGATTCACCAGTTTTGTTAGATTCCTGTTGGCTGATATACAGTGGTTTAGACCTGTTATTCTTGAGGTGGATAATATTCTCCATTGGCTAGGTGACCATTGACTTCAAGGAACTCTGAGTTTACACACCTGGAAATAATTATATTATCTTTCCTTTTCTTCTTTTTATCCTATCATTGAGGCCTCATTCTTCCCTTTTTCATGTCCGAGAGAAAATTCTTCCCCTGAAGATGTGGGTGTAGTTTTTTTCTCTGTCTTAGGCAATTAAACTTTAAATAAGAAACTACCAGCAGTCTTTGCCCATTTAGGGTAAAAAAGGAGTAATTGTCTCTTCTGTCAAAAGAAACAGCGATAGGGAGGGAAAGAGGAGAAAGTAGGAGAGGAGAAGGGAAGAGAGAAGACAGAGAAAAGAGAGAGGAGACAGAGACAAAGAGAAAAGAAAGAGAGAGAGAGAGAGGAGAAGAGAGAGAGATGGGGGAGAGGAATTTAATACTTTATAGGGTCCCTGTGTCGAGGCGACCAAAAGCTACAGGGATGGGGAAATTGCAGCCAGCCCAGTGGCTGCAAGCTCAGTTTTAAACTGACACAAAAAGTGTTTTTTTCTTTCTCTGTGGGCCGCCAGCGCCCACCCGGCTTTCAGGCAGGCCACACTGCTTCAGGGTGCAGTATTTGCATCCAAAGTGTGGCTTTAAAAAAAAAAAGCTTTCTAACTCTTTGTAGTGCAAGTGACCTGTCAGCACAGTAGTTAGGGTATAAGGCCTGCAACTGCAAGGTTGTTGGTTCAAATCCTCAGTGAAGTCAGTCTTAAATTAGTGAAATCTCCTGGGGGAAATTCAAAAGCTGAAGAAAAAAAACAAACTGGGTTGTCTAGCTCCAGGCCTTGTACCCCTCTCCAATGCACGATGGCCAACTTTAAGGTTGGGTTTTCAGGCCAATATGGGATAAAATTAACCCCTGGAGAACTCCACTCTTTATGTAAACTAGAATGGCCATCTTTTGGAATTGGGTGGCCTGACACTGGGACCTACGACTCAAAAAAAATATTACCCAAGCTGTATGGAAAGGGGTTGCAGGAACTCCTGGACACCCTGATCAGTTTCCATACATTAACCAATGATTGGATTTAGTCCAGCAACCCCCACTGTGGCTGAAATGCTGTATAAAACAGGCTAGACTTCAGGTCATGTTAGCTGGCCCAAAGAAAGCCCCTTCTCGGCCAGCCATTCTCCCCAGCCCAGTGGAGGATCAGAAATTACCTCCAGCTTACTTAAGGCCCTCTGAACCACGGCCTCAGCACCCCCCTGGGCAGTACCAGCGACCAAACCTTGTCCCTCCGCACACCCGAAGTAGGGCCCCACACCCACCAGTGGTCCTTCCTCTCCAAGAGTCGCCTCCAACGGGAGAAAACAATCAGGGTCGCCCATTCTTTGTTCACATCCCCTTCTCGTCAAGTGACTTATATTACTGGAAAGTGATCGAAGTTAAAGAGAGGGCCGAAACACCAAGTGCTCGGACAGCTTTATTAAGAGCAAGGGAAAAGCTGCCAGGCTACACCCAAAATTGACACGCAGCACCCATGGTGAGGCAAAGGGGATTTTTGTGCCTGCAAGCCGGCAGATGCATCCAGTGTGAGGGGCTGTGCGGGGGGGGGGCAGGTGCTGGGGAACTGCTGAGTTTAATAGTTCCCGGTAGGGGGTCATGCTGGGGAACTGCTAAGATGATGAGAGGGGGAGGGTTAGAAACCTGCTGAGATGGAAAGTCCCCCGGGAGGGGGTTGTGCTGGGAGGCTGGGGAACTTAAGGCAGCAGCGGTTTTACAATGGAGTAAGTTCTGTCAGAAAGCTCAACATCCCCTGTTCTCTGAGAAGCCCTAGGGTTTGACAGGGCTCTTAGAACCTGTACTCCAGACTCATCGCCCCACTTGGGATGACTGCCAACAATTACTGATTCTGTTCACCACAGAGAAAAGAGGCAAAATTAGACAAGATGCCCTGAAAGCCATCATAGGTCAGGGTGAAGAGCAGTAGAAGAAAAAAAAAAAAAAAAAAGAAGAAAAAAAGGAAAAAAAAACGAACAAATTAAAAAGGTTTTTCCCTCTACCTGACCCCAGTGGAACTCCAACACCTTGCGGGGGTCACCATGCTCTGAACACTTTTCACTAGTATCTTTTAGAAGGAATTAGGGAAGCGGCCCACAAGCCCACCACCCTCTCCAAGGTAGGGACTGTAACTCAGGGTCCGCAGGAGTTGCTGGCTGCCTTCCTTGAGCATCTACAAGATGCTTTTTGCACCTACACTCCTATTGACCCTGAGGCTCCAGAAAATCAGCAGGCCACCTATCTGGCTTTTGTTTCCCAGTCAGCCCCAGATATTAAAAGAAAGTTACAGAATTTAGAGGGACTCCAGGAAATACATTTAACCCAACTGCTAGAAATTGCCCAGAAAATTTTTATAACAGGGATATTCCTGGAGCCATGCAAAACAAACAAACAAAAAAAAAAGTGTTACTAAGGCAGTAATAACAGCCCTTCAGAAGACACGAGTCATTCCACGAGGGCAGGGGGCCTTGTAAAAAAGGTCCCCTGGGGTCCCCTGGGGTCCCCTGGATCCTGTTAGGAAGAAACCAATGTGTGTACTCTAAAGAAGAGAAATGTTAGAAATAATGAGTGTCCCAAGAGAAAAAGACGAGTAATGACTCAGGAAAAGCCACCGAGGGCTATCCTCAATTTAGAAGATCAGGATTGATGGGGCTGGGGCTCTTATTTACTAAGCCCCCAGGAGCCCAGGGTCACTTTAAGAGTTGGGGCAAACCTGTCAGCTTCTTAGTTGACACCAGGTGGCCCATTCGGTCCTTAGCCTCTGGGACCACTATCCAGTAAAAAACAATTATCCAGGGGCCACAGGAAAAACCACAAGCCCTTGGACCACCAACTGACTTATTGATTTGGGGAACGGCACCATCACCCACCCCTTCTTAGCCATTCCAGAGTGTCTGTACCCACACCTAGGACGGGACTTACTTCACAAACTTCAAGCAAATATTTCTTTCTGTGAGAGTCAGGCTTGCCTCTCAATTTCTCCTTCCTTGGCATCAGGGCCACCTCAGCAAATCCTCATCACCTGTGCTCTGTCAGACAAGTATCTCTTGCAGGAAGCTTTATCCTTAGAGGCAGATCAATCACCAACATCAGACCTCCTCCACCAGTTCCAAGAGAATGTATCCGGAGTGTGGGCTGAGACAAATTCCCCAGGCTTGGCAAGTCACCGTACCCTAGTCATGGTTCATCTTTTGGCAATGGCCACTCCAGTCCACGTATGACAATATCCCATGAGCCCAGAACCAGATGGGGAATTGCTCCACATATAACCAGACTCCTAAAAAAAGGGATCCTTACTACTTGTAAGCCCCCCTGGAATACCCCATTACTCCCCGTCTTAAAACCAGACATGAAGGACTATCAGCCCATACAGGACTTAAAGGAGGTAAACAAATGAGTGGAAACTGTCTACCCTATGGTTCCAAATCTGTACACACTCCTTAGTCTCTTAGACCCAGAATGCCAACATTACACTGTCTTGAAACTCAAAGATGCATTGTTTTGCATCCCACTGACCCCTGTTAGCCAGCCCATATTTGCTTTTGTATGGACTGACCCTGATACTGGGGTCTCAGGGCAACTCACTTGGACAAGACTTCCTCACGGGTTCAAAAACTCCCCTACTCTGTTTGATGAGGCACTTAGCCAAGATCTTACTGTCTTCTGAGCTGAGTTCCCTGAGTTTACCCTACTCCAATACGTGGATGACTTACTTTTGGCTCCCAAAAACCCAGGAGTCCTGTAAAGAGACCACCCAGTCATTATTAAAGATCCTACAGACTTTGGGTCACCAGGCCTCAGCTAAAAAGGCCCAACTCTGCCAACAGAAAGTGACTTACCTGGGCTATATCATAGAGAAGGGCAACCAGGCACTGGCACCCAGCCAAGTCCAAGCGGTGCTGCAAATATCCATCCCCACCACGAAACGCCAAGTTCGAGAACTCCTTGGAGCAGTAGGGTACTGCAGGCTATGGATTTTGGGATTTGCCAAGATAACCAAGCCCTTGTATGCCTGAACTGGAGGAAATCAACCCTTGACTTGAACAGAGATAGAGCAATGGGCTGTTGACAAGCTCAAGACTGCCCTGACTACGCCCTCAGCCTTGGCCTTGCCAGACATCTCTAAAGCCTTCTGGTAGTTTGTGCATGAAAACCAGGGAGTCGCTAAGGGGGTGC